AAGGCTATAGAACTCGGTACGGTACGTACGCCTTCCAGAGGATTAGGACTCAATGTTTATTGCTCGGACCCAACCTTAGGTCTTGTCGGATTAACTAAGCAATTAAGGCAAAATGTGTCGATGAGTTTTTCATGTAATTTTAGCCTTTTCCCAACGTTGCCAAATTTTTAAATTTTTACCAGCGTTGCTATATTTTGTAAAACTTCGTTTTAAAAAGAAAAACTTGTAGCAGAATCAATCTAGCGCTCGTACTGACTAGACGTGACGCTACCAATAAATTTGTACTCCTCCCAAACTAATATTGTTTAAATAAATACATACTTATTGATTGTTCTCCTTATATTAATAATAATGTGTTTTATTTTAATGCACCCAATAACATTCTAAACGAAATTGGCTTTGATATTTTAAAAATAAATTTAAATGATTTTAAAAAACTTTTGTAAAATAACATTTTAAGTGTTGGTTTTTTTAAAACGAACAAGTTGAGATCAACAAAAATCTTGGAATCTAATACCACTATTCGATTCTATGGAAAAAATTACTAGGAAACTGTGTCTTGCAATTGTATATTATGCACCAAGTGAGGTAAATCGGACTATATGCGCCAAGCGCAATTTTTGAAGACGAGTTCGAGAAAATTGTGCGAGACCTATAAAGGACTTACCGAGGTGCATACGCTTCGCGTCTGCGCAATCACTTTATTACTTTGTCTGTCGACTTTATTCCCCTCTGACGTCACCTAATATGTAAACTTCGAGTCACAACCCGCTTCACACTATCAATAAAACGAGGTTTTCGAGCATCTGTGATATAAACATATTTTATTGTTTAGACAATTATTGTTTAAACAAATACTTAAGTACAACAAAAATCTTAAAATCTAATAACACAATTCGATTCTACGGAAAAAATACAACGAAACTGTGTCTTGTAAAATTTTTTGTTATTTCAATTTACATAAAAAAATAAATAAACAAATTTACAGCTAATATGACCATTGCTTCGACAGTACGAAAACTGTCTGCGGCGTCATGAAATGAAAACTCCGAGATGAAAACCTTTGATAATAAGGTTAATATCCACACAAAAATAAAAACATATTCAATTGTTTAATAAATTATGGTTTAAACAAATACTTGAGTATATCAAAAATCTTAAAATCTAATAACGCCATTCAATTCAACGGAAAAAATACAACAAAAGTGTATTCAATTGCTTATAACTAATTAACAATTAATCTATTAATCCATTTATGCTTATGTACAGAGTGAATCAAATATTAAAAAAACAACTGTTGGAATCCTAGCGTGAGACCTAGCAATGAATTTTCACGTAAAAATAAAAAAATCTGTTTATAACAATTTGTTATAAACAAATAAAAAAATTTTTAATTTTTTAAAAAAATGACATTCATTCGTTTTCACGTGAAAAATTAATACGAGAACATGTATGACCTATGATATAATTTTTTTTCAACATATATTGTAAAAATTTTATAAACAAATATAATGCACTTATACTTGTCCTGCCCATGGGCAGAGAGAAGTAGATATCAACAAAACAACGAATGGGATCCTAGCATGAGACCTAGCAATAAATTGTCACGTTTTAAATTTTTTGGTAAAAAATTATTTATAACAATTTGTTATAAACAATTTAAGCCTTCGTCTGTAAACGTTTTTTATCACCTTCCGTTTGCAATCGTGTTTCATTAACGTCCAACTGTGTTTTTAATTTGTTAATGTACTCAAAAAAATATTAATCATAAAAATAATAAAAAAAATTATTGTTGCATTTATTTTTTATAAACAAATGAAGAAAATCAGTAAAAAACAGCGATTAATGTAAAAAATCATAAACGTGGGTCAAATCTGTCCCAGCGAAAACATTTAAGTATATTGTAGCTGCCAATAAAGGACTAGGATCGTCACCTTTATGCGTTAGTACTCTTTCCTACGTTACTTCTTTTAGGTGAAGACAGAGGTAGGTACTACTGGCTTCTTAAAAATATATTTAACTAAACAGTTCTAACTGGGACACAAATGACCCACGTTTACAAACGAAGGGTTAACAAATTTTTCAAAAAAGACGGTTTAGTCGTAATTTTTTCTATAGAATCGAATAGCGTTATTAGTTTTTAAGATTTTTGTTGTTCTCAAGTAATTGTTTAAACAACTGAATTTTTTAAATATTTCTTTATGGAAAATTATCTTTATTTTTAATGTTTTCATTGCTGTATTCACTGTTTAGATATTTGTAAAAGTTTGACCACAGCCTCTAATTATGACATTACACCCCTATAACTTCAAGGCGTGATTTCTAACCTGTAAAGTGGATTATAGCAGATATAAAATTATACGGGTCTCTTATTTTTCCGAGTACTACATTCAGACCAAGTTTCATTAAAATCGGAGATTATCACTTCCATAGGTTTACTTGTGAGATAGACAAGGACGAAAGTGAAGGCATATAAGAGAGCGGTCACAACTCGTCATACAGGCACACATGCATGCAGGTTGCCATGGCAACGTAAAGGCGACTTTAAGAAGGTTTTTGGCAGCCCAAAAACGGGCTGATCAAAAGTGATCCGATTCACTCAAATATCCAATCACCATAAGTATTCTTTTGGATCCAGCTAATCACAGCGTGTTCTTAATGACCTAAGAAGTTGTCCGAAAATCCCCTATACGTGAAAATCATCGGTGTTGAATTTAAAGGAGCGACCTCGGGGTGAAATCACATGGAGAGGTAAAAGTATAATATCAAGCAGAATTTCATGAGAGTAGAAAGGATAGCCTATCCGTCAATCTTACTTGCACTATGAAATTTTGCTTGACGTTTTACTTTTTACTTCTCCACGTGATTTCACCTTCCGCTCTGCAGGCAGACAGGCTGCAGAGCTGAGGTCACTCCTTAAGAATTATTTTAAACTAAAAAGGAAAGCGATACATGGTTCACAAAACAATCCGTAAATTAAAGTTATTAAAGGTATTTTATATATAATTTATAAAATTAAACAGCACTTTATATTTAAATAGAAAGTTAATTTTAAAAAAATTGAACTTCGAGCTAAAAGAATATGGCTGCATATTTTGCGCATGTGCACTATGTTACAGTATAGTTTTTGTGAAAAAATATTTTTGTTTATAACTTGAATAATTTCATCGTTCAAACATTTAAATAGTGCTTCAAAAAACATGCAAACGATTGGCATTAATATTAGTTGAAAATATTAATTTTTGTTGTGCAAGTGTGAAGTTGGCACGTACATTTTAAAAATTGAATATCTTTTTTATGTTTTATATCAAAACGTTAAAAGTTGATTTCCAAACATGACAAAGCGATTCCAATAAAAAAGAAATGATAATTTTATGGTTGCTGTGCTAACTTTACGGAGGTGAAATTTAGTGGTCATTTTCTTTCTGAGACCAATTTAACAAAAAAAAGAAAAGATTTGTATTGTTCTGTCGAATAAGAAAGGAGTTCCATCAATGGTCCAAATGCACGAAAGTATGAGTTTTCCGTAAATTTTCGTGATATTGTTCCGGGTCGGAAAATCGTAAAATTGTGAGTGGTGTTAAAATGTTTGTTCCGCTTGACTAAAGTACTCTCAAGTAGTTCATGTACAAGATCTGAAACAAAAATTTTCGACAAAGAGTAAGTGGTACATGAGCATCAAGAAAATGTACATGAATATGTAGAAGTACCTAAACATGTTTCAATTTCGGGTGCAAAAAATATGTACAAAAATATTACATGAACTTATACAATTCTTAAGCATTTAAGGTTTTTAAGCCGGGAATCCTTGTACCCATCCATAACGAGAAATACAATTATTAATATAAAGCTGTTTAATTATGTTTCACGTATGCTTACTAACTTTCATTATTTATATTTTTCATTACTTATGGTATCCAAATAACATCTTCTTATATATTACGAGTGTCAACACAGTAATAAGTTGAGTACAAGAAGTTGAGCTATCTCAGTAAAATTCAGAGTATTTTGTTAAGGCGTTGTCCGCAGTGGCGAGACAGCCGGTGTGGCGAGACATTAGGATATTTCAGACAGCTGAACTGACTGTGCTGGCACTTCTGGTCTGAAAGTCAAGTTTTATTGTGCTTTAACTTTTCAATATGATACATACGTTTTTGATGTACGAAATATCGCTATACTGATAATAACAGTTTCAAGATATTTTAGAAGTTTTATTTCCCATCGGTATAAGTGATAATATATAAAAATTTCCGGAATTTTCTGAAGGGTTAAATGTTTTGAGTCTTTAGTATTTAAGTTTCCTTCAAAATTTCCAGAGCACTATGAATTATTGTTCGATGCATAGGATTGTACATCGTCATTACCGAAAAATGCTGTTTCCGCATTGGCGAGACACTTGTTGTCGGCAGTGGCTTTTTAATATCTAATAATATTGTACATGTCCTAATGAATTTGATATAATTTTTGTACGTTTTGTCGACAATATTTTTCATAACTATAGTTTAAATTGAAAAAGATGAACAGGAAGAAAAGCTTATTTGTTTTTAATAACTGTGACATGGATTAGCGGCTCACAATCAGAAAAATATTTGCCTGTATTTTTATGATTGAATGAAACAATATTATGATTTAAAGGCATCAATTATTATACTCTTTCTCTTTGATTCCTTTGTTTTTGTTACGTTTGAACGATAAAGACTCTGATTTTAAGATAGTGTCTCGCCACTACGGACGATTTTTTATGTCGGTAGTCGCGAGACATTATCGTAAATCGGCAATAACTTTTTTTTCCAATATCTGTTCTGTAACTGTATAAGTTAAATTTGCAGTATAGAGTCACACCTGTCCATGGATATATATACAGACTTGATGTTCTTGAAAATGTGAGTGCTATAACAAAAAAACAAAACGTGTCTCGCCACTACCGACTCTCCCTTACAACTTTATTTGAAAAAATAGTACTACAATAAGTTTAATATATTTATTATTTATATTTATAGATGCACCAAGATGTAAAAAAGGATATGAGATATTAAATATTACTTCAACACACCTGCAGGCTTCAAAACTTCGTTGTGAAGTAGAAGCTGATCCTGCAGATGACATAAAATTTGCTTGGACTCACAACAACACAAGAGGGGATATTTTGCCAGTAAAAATTTCTCGCATTGTAGATAGAACCAAGACTATAAGTACCTTAGAATATAAGCTGGACACTGACAAAGATTTTGAAACTCTCGCTTGTTGGGCAAGTAACAGTGTAGGACGACAAAAATCGCCCTGCATTTTCAATATTGCACGTCCAAGTAAGTAAATTATAGAAATTCATTAATTTTTTTTCTACTATAAATTAGTTGAGTGGTAGAGTACTATTACTTCCCGAAGGAAGAACGTACTTTTTTTAAATAAAATTTTATTCATTTAATTATGAAAGCATTTTTATGCTGTCTATTCAGGTTAGTAAGCACAGAATCTTATTTGTTGTGTAATCGTTTTCACCAATCCAAACAGAGATTTTGCGCACAAAGTCACAAATAAACTGACTTGTGTCAGAAAAAACGAGTTTTTCTAACACATTGACAAGTAGTAGCTTGTTGATTAATAGCTTCTTTATTAATAGCTCCCACAGTTAACAATTATCTGCCCATATGATTGCCTCCTCGTAACACATTCTTGGTATACCTGACTTTATCAGTTACAGCAAATCCTAGTTGGAAATCCAAAAAAAACCTTCCTTTAATATTACACGTACTTAACGACAAGACATAGTAAAAAATTAAGGAGGAGCACGACTCCCCACAAGGCACAACTCTCCCCTAAATTTAATCATTTTTAAATATATAACTATGTTACAATCGTTAACAGTCATATTCAGATGCACACATCTTTTAACTTAAATTTACGGACTTTAATGTTCAGTTAGTGTTTTATAAAAAATCCTTCATGTTACGGACGGAATTCCGTAAATTTTTAATTTTTTTGTTAAATATTATTTATTAAAAATAATATTTGTTAATTAATATTACAAATATGTTGTCAATTATACACCAACAACATACACAACACACACATTTAAATTTTCTTATGTTAAATATTCAATTATTATTTCAAATTAAATTAATAATTATTTATAACTTTACTTTATAAATTTAACAACGTAATTTTGAAGGTCTTAGCTATAATTTGCACTTTAAAAACTTAAAAAGTGATTTGTGGATCTTAAAATATGTTAAAAAAGGTCCGAACATGTTTTTCTAGAACTCAGCCGTCGATCAAAACTTTTGGCCGCCACGCTGCGGGGTTGTAGAAAAACATGTTTGAACATTTTTTAACATGTTTTAAGAACAACAAAATTTTTTTTAAAATTTTCAAAGAAGCAATTTACAGCTAAGAACTTAAACATGGTGTTAAAAATTTAAAAACTTAAAAAATATTTTGTTGTTCTTGAAATACGTTAAAAAATGTTCAAGCATGTTTTTCTACAACCTCGAAGCGTCAATTTTTTCCATACATTATTTTAGATTATGCCGGGAGTGATAAACATTAGTACTAAAGTAGAAAAATTGAATAATTTTTTCATGAAATCTTTTCTGTTTTATAAATACTAAAAAAAATATTTTTTTTATATACATTCAAACACAGAATTTTATAAGCTTTCCAAGCATCTAAGTTACAAGTCTCTATCTTATTTCTAACTTAAAATATCTTGCTTTAAAGTCAGCATCAAATTTCCACTCCTCTCACGTCAGGCGTACCGACAGTTTCCGACGGTACTGTACATATTCCTTGCATTTCTATGATAATTATTTGCAATAAAATATTTTAAAGCTATAAATTACGCGATTTTAAAGAAAAAATTAAATTTCTCAAAAAGGGCTCGATGAATGTTTTTGATTTTTGCTCGGAATATCTTCTTTTTTGTCCTAGCATACAATCCTGAAAGAAAATCTTGGTTGTTTTAATCTTTTATAATTATTTATTTAAGCTCACCGTGAAATATTGGTAAAAAAACCCGGCAGCCCCCTACGGGGGCAGCCACATTCTCGTCACGCGCTTCGCGCGTAAGGGCTCGCTTCGCGTGCTTATATGAGCGTGCCCCGGGGCGCGCGAATGTTGATCGTCCCGCTTCGCGGTCCGATATTGGTGCGCGCTTTGCACGCATTGTCCAAGCGTCGCGTTACCCGCTCCGTTTGTTTATTATAATTCAAAACCAAGTGGCATTAATTGCTTTTAAACTACACTGTATTATTCAAAAATTTCTCAATTAAATTTAAAAATTGTATTAATTATACTACCAGAAAGTAGTTGAGTGACCCAAGAAGCCATTTAGTAGAATGAGATTTTGTCGTTGTTTCAGACTTTGTAGTTGATTTAACTAAATTTTGAAGAAAAATGTGGCGGCACTGCAGCTTTTCAAACTTAGTTCCTTAATTTTGCGCCGTGGATTACCCAGGTCTTTATAATTAAAGGAAATCGACAAACCACTTTATTTTAATAAAGTAAGTTATTCCGCTTCGAACTGATTTCAATTGAGTAAAAGAAAAAAATAATTGAAAATTTAAAAAAATTAAAAAAAGAACTTTAAAGTAAATGCATTTCTAAAGCAACAAATTTATTATATGAGGTTTCGCCCTCATGTTTTTATTCCTAAAAATTTTTTTGTGCAATTGATATAAGTAAAATTTTTAGTTTTTATAAAATTCTCATCACGGCACGAAAAATAGAAACATACAATAGAAAAAGTAGGCGTACATTAACCCATTAACGAAATTTTTACAGGTACTTTGAGGCTCTATCAAATTGCGTACTAAAAGAACCGAAAAATTTTAAATAAACAATTTATAAGCGTTAAAAAAAAGATTTTATTAGAATTTTTAGGTTAAAACTGTGCTGCCAAAAATTAATGAGTAAAATAACACATCGAAAATAATTTTAAATTTTTATTACCTTAAATGTTATAGAACCCAAATGATACATACAAAAGAATATAACTAACACTAATCATAAAAATTTAATAAAAAATTAAAAATTTTTTTTACGCTAAGAAGTGGAAATAAATGGCTGGACTTAAAAAAAAAATTTGAAATGATTTTGATTTTATGTTACTCAGTTGTTATTCTATTAAGTATCTAAGTCGGAAAAATATGTATTCGATTTGTATTTTTAGGGAAAAATAGTAGAAAATTAAAAAAAAAGAAAACTTAAAAAATTTGAATTTTTTTCAAAATTTAAATAACTTTTTTGTTTTAATCTCTATCGAAAAGAGTTTTAAAAAATTCTACTTTTAAGAGTATTTTAAGGGATAAATAAAATTTTTCTTCAAATTTGAGAAAAATTGAATTTTTTTAAATTCAACATTTGAATAATTTTTGAATTTTTGGGCGGATTAGTCTGTCCAATGAACTCATGCTTCATTTTTACATGTTGAAAGAGTGTACCAAATTTCAAAGCGATTCGTTAAAATTTGTTCAAGTTATCGTGTGGACAAAAAAGTGTCTACAGACAGACGGAAAAGTTTTCAAAACCTATTTTTTTGGCATCGGGAGGTCTCAAACAAGGAGATTCACTGGAATTAGAAAAAAGTCAAAATCGACCAAAACGAATACTTTCTCATTTATGATGAGAATGTATAAATATAATTTTAAATGTATATACAGTCATTTTTTAAGGAATTTAGCTTTTTTTAGTTTTATCATATTTTTTGAGTGCTTTGGGATGAGAATAGGTCCATTTTGTAAACTAAATTTTTTTTCTTTCAATATAATTTGGTTTCTAACAATAATTTCGAATTTTTTGCTGCTTTTTGATATTTGAAGCCCTTTAACTTTTTCAATTTAATTTTAATTGAAAAATATAAAAGAGAAAAAATGTTTGTATTTTACTAAGGTATAAAAATATGAGGTTGAAAAAATTTTTTTTTAAAAAAATTGAAATTCAAAATTTTTGAAAATGCTGTGATTTTTTCATTTTTGATCGGAAGTGGCTGTCTATCGAACTTGCACGGAAAAAAAGTACAACTCCATTTGAGAATTTTTTCGGCATAACAGTTAAACATTTCGTCGAAAATGAACGAGCGATATTGTATTGCCAAAATGGCTAACCAGAAAGATTGAACTCTAAATTCACTATAGCCGAATTGGCTTAACTATCAGCTACTGCGGTAAAACTTATTCACAGCGTTGGATGTTTCGATCCTTCTTATTAATTACACTAGTTAAAAGAAACACATATAGTTAAATGCACATGTGGCAATTCATGCTTTTTTCTTCTCTATGAAAAGCTATACATATCTAGGCATACCCTTCTCAAAATCTTCTGTATTTGCTCTTGCCACAGACAGTATTATTTGTAAATCTAAGTTAACCGTAACTGCAACAATAGCTTTAATTAATAGAATGGATTTGAGCTCTTGGAAATCCATGTCTGACGAACGATATCAAAAAAAATGTTATAATAAAATGATAATTATAAAAAGACAAAATTCAGGGAAACAAAATTGTATTAAATTTAGCTGGCTAAACCAAGTGGAGAAGTTTTTCGAGATAATAGGAGTGGAGGCTGACTGGGAATCACTCCTCACGAAAACAAAGAAAATATCTTTGATTAAATTATATAAAGAGAAAATATTCCAAACAGATATAGGAAAGGCGCAGTCATCTTCTTCTCTAATAATTTTCCCACACTTGGAAGTGCTACAATAGAATTTACCAAAGTATTTAACAATAACAAATATGTCACTCAAAATCATTAAACTGATAGCTCAACTACGATTAATAAATAAATTCAATTCTAGGATAATTGTTAATTCTTCTGTATGTGTCTTGAAATTTGAAAAATACTGTAAGTTTTGTTATCTTGATATTGAAAACTCCGATTATGTCTTCCATTTGCTTATAAAATGCCAATACTTTGATAATGTAAGGAAAAAATATCTTTGTAATAGTAGTAACACAGAAGAAATCGAGAATACTTGTCTATTGGTTTTGATGAATCCGAATTTATCTTCAATTAAAAAACTAACTATTTTATTATATAAAATTTCAGTTTAAGAAATATATATTATGTAATAAACCCGAACTCCTTTGTATGAATCAGTTGATTCTTAAAAAATAAATATACTAGAAGAAAATAATTAACAAAAATCGGACAAGTGCGAGTTACACTCGCACTGAAATCGAGGGTTCCGTACTCGAAGCGAACTTATTTGGTATAAAAACAAATGTTTAAAAAATATGTGTTGTGTATTAAATAATATATGTGATACAAAAAAGAACAATTTTTAAAAAAAAATTTAAGAAAATTGTAC